GCAGGAATGAAAGAACCATTATACAGCCCCAGAATTTCTTGTTTATACATCTATCTTCCTTGTTGGATGGTGAGCTCTATGAGGACAGAAATAAGATCTTTGTCTTCTTTGTAATTGTGGGGTTTAAAGCCCCTATGTACTTTGCCTAAAAACACCCATGTTAAACAAACAAAACCAATAAATTAACCACTAATGTTAAATTAAAACCAGTCAAATTATACCTAGGATCAAATGAGGAAATGATCTCAAGGAACTGCAAAATTCTTGAACCCCACAGATCAAAGAAGCTCTCCCATTCCACCAGGAGGAAAGACCCATGCTAAAAGCTGGGCTGGGTGAGGTGCCCTCACCTTTCACTCTCATCCGCTGCCTTCTCGGCCTCCTCCAATTTCTGCAAAGCTGTTGCCAGACGCTCTTGGGCACGATCCAACTCTTCCTCAACCAGCTGGATGCGCCTGTTCAGAGAAGCTACATCGGCTTCAGCCTAGGCAGAGAGAGTGAAAGGTATTTCAGAACTGGGGAGAAATATGAGGGTAGTGCCTTTAGGAAGTGGCTGAGAATGAAACACTGATTTTAGACAGAAAGCCTGGGCCTTGTGGTAATACCTTTGAGTGCATTATAAGCCCTGGTCAACTCTGGAGTTCTTGGGTACGTTCATATACTGATTTATATAGTGACTGTCCACATTTGTTTATATACAAATCCATACACAGCACTATCATTGGAAAGATGGACTCTTAAATGCTCCCTTGCTGGGTTCCTTTCTTCCACAGATCTCAACACACTGGCTTTACTTAACGGAGAGCTTCATTAAAGCCACCTCGCTCACTGGGGGCCTGAGGTGTAGACAGGGATAACATGACTTTACAGAAAGAGCCAGAAACCAGATTCGGGGGGTCTCAATCCTCCTTTCTTCAGACCATTTTCTCAAAGGGGCCTTATAAAAGAACTAAAATATTTCAAAATGTAGTGGTTCTAAAATATACACTATACAGACACAACTAAATTCAGTACCCTCCCACTTTCAGTAACTCCTTTAGAGTAACTGGTAACACTGGAACAGGGCCAAGACAAATTTCCCTAGTGTTTCCGACATAAGCCTACTGGAATTTCTTACAAGTCAAGGTTGCTACAAGAAAAGTTTCAAACTCCTTAGGAGAAAAGCAGTACAGATCTGTTTTTATTTGTAGATGTTTCTTTCTTGGGGATGCAATGATTACCTACTGTTATAAGCATCTGTTACTATGAGCCTCAAAACATTTGCAAGACTGCGAGGGTCCGTTACATACACTTGAATGGGTGGCTGTTTAAATATTATGCATTTAAGTGAGAGATGGAATTTACTAATCAGACACCATTTCTTCAACTTCACCCATTTTGAATGTCTGCTTATCATAGGGTGATGGGGGTTTTCAGGATACATGGAAAGTTTTCTAAAAGTTACAATACACACTTAGAGACCTATGTTAGTTCTCTGTCTACATTCTTGTCTTCTTTACTCAACTATAAGCTTCTACGTGCAGGGAATCACGGTTTCCTGTAGAGTATGAGCTCAGAAAATGTCTACAAAATAGTAAAATCAATCTAATTTAAACAAAAGCAACTTTCTTAGCTTGTGAACTCATGATATACACAGTTTGAAATGCACATGCAGTTAGAGAGGCTGTGATTATGGCCCTGAATCAAAGGAATATGAGAACATTCAGTTCTTAGCAGCTAAAATCTTACAAATCTAGATGAGCAAAGTTTTATTTGGGAAAGAGAGGTGATTAGGGCATTTCCAAACATGGTGAAGGACTTTTTAAAAAAACATTCAAATATACTTTTATCTCATCAAAAATTAACCATGTAGTAATAATTGGTTGATAGAGACAGGGAGCAGGGGGAAATGAGAAATGAATCTGAAGGGGGGATGGTTTACAATTGTATTGGCCCAAGAAGTAAATCATTATTGGTGCACAGCTAGTAATGGGCCTCGCTAAGTCTAAAAGGCAGGTGACTTGGTTTTTTTGGAGAAGGGGTGAGGGTAATAAGGACAACATTTCTTAAATACTGGAAACTGCCTCTTAAAAATCTTTAGTCCTATTTTTAAAAATTGGGAGGAGAATACATTAAGGTTATAGTTTTGGGTCAGGTTTGCTTTCTTCACTTTTCTCTATTTTTCCTTTCCAGTAAAAATTCTATTCTTTTATGCATGGGGGAAATAAGCAACTTTGAAAGTTAAAAACAAAAATGAAGAACAAAAAGGAAACAAACAAAAAAACTTCAGTAGGGTTTCTAGATCATGCATTCAAAAATATTCCCTTCTTTCCTTATAATTATTATTTAAAAAAAAAAGGCAAGTATCCTTGTTACAGGTGGTCTGGCCAGAGAAATGTCACTGAGATTTTCAAAGATGTTTTTTGTAGCCACCGCTTTCTAAGTTCCCTGCTCTGCTTTTCATCTGGGCCCCAGCCTTCAGGACTTTGTACTCATAGAAAGGAGACGTTACAATCTGGGGAAGTAAACTTCCGGGTGACAAGCCAGTCTAGGTCCCCAGCTTCCCACACAGCTGGGACATGAGAGAGCAAGGAGAGAGCACCCCATGTTCATTTCTGCCTCTGTGCACAAGATCTTCCTACCTGAGAGGTCCCCCACTCCACCCCATCAATCTGTATCTTTCCTCTTATTGCCCCCTCCTTTAGTTCTGGACACTGTTTTATAAATGTCACTAACTTTTCTCCCAGGAGCATTTTGTTGGACCTTATACTTCTTGACATTATGGGTGTGTCCTAAGGAACACCAGCCAATAGGACTTCGTATAGGGTGCCCAAGTGCTCAAGCAATGACTGGGAATAGAGATCTGTTCTAGGAGCCAAGACTGGTGCACACAGAGAGCAAACCTATGGGTGGTCTGCAAAATGGGGTCTCGGTTGCTTAGCTGGAAGGGCTAGCTAAACATCCAGCTAGGCATCATCGAGCAGTTCCCAAAACTGGCTAAGTGTCAGAATCCACTGAGAGATGTGTATTAAAAATACAAACTTCCAGCCTCCATCCCTAGAGATACTGATTCAGGAGGTTAGAGGGGAGGGCAGGAATCTGCACTATAAATAAGCGACCTGTTCCACTCCTCCGCCCAAAGCAGCTGGAAAATCCTGTGGGAACTGATTTTCTAGCTCTTCATTCAAAAGAAAATAGGAGGATGGTGGGATCTCTGACCCAGAATGCTGACATATGCTCAGGTCAACAGCCATCGGTGGGAGACAAGACTAAAATCCAAGTTATCGGGCTCCTCACGGGCTGGGTCATCACTTCTCACAGTCTCCTGGAACCTCGTGAAAGCCCTGGAACTGGAGGTCCTCACCTTTGTTATCTTCCTTCTTCTTGTGTCAGAGTGGAAGGTTCTCTATAGCCACCTCCAACCCAACTTCCCTACCCATACAATGGATATTGTATGGGTAGGGAAGGCCTTATTTATAGTGCAGGCCTTCAGCAACAGAACCTAACCAGGGCTAGGAGAACAGTTACTGTATTAAATATCATCCACTAAACAAGTCCTCTCAATCCTTTTTGAAGTAAGCTATGGTATAAAACTCAAAACTTCATCAAGTAATATTAATGGGTAACAGCTGACATAAGGACACAGAGCACTTGCTCTCAATACCAGAAGCCAACACTTGCTGTTTCAGAGTAAGACAGACAAAGGTGCTTGTAGGTTACAGCCAAGACTTGGAGCAGTGTTTGGGATACATCTACCTCTATATAGGCTTCCCCTAGGAAATGCCTGGACTCTTACTGGCTTTTCAGGCTCTACCATACTGGTCTGATTGCAATTTTGTCTGATTCCCTAGAATTCAAGATGTTTCATTTCATAAATTAATTAAGGGCACTTCTTTCTTTCTCTTATTTTTGGGGATATGTTCTGTGTTCAAAAGGCCCACATATTTCACCTTCACAAACTTTTTATTTCCAGTATGTGTTTTCTACATTCTGAGGCTTATATAAACATTTTCTAAGATTCCTTTCATCATAGTGGGGGGAGGGGGGCACTCTACTTAAGAACTTAACCTGTGGTTACTTCTGCCAGTACAAGTCCATAGCCACATGACCATCTGTTATTTAAAAAGCAGATATAAATAACAAAGCGTTTGGGAAGGGTCAAGACCCCAGATGCAAATTATTTCCAGGCATGGAAATCACCCTTAGTGTGCTAGGTTAGCTGCTTCTAACGACACTCCAAGTGTTGACGCTGCTGGCAAAATCTTTCAGTTTGGGATGCTAGTTTCTTTTATTTCAAAAGTGCTATTGTGTCCTAACAGGTAATGAGCTACTCAGAAAAGAGACTGCTATATTAGTGAAGGCTACCAATTGTCTTCCTGCAGATCTGTTGTTAAACCACCACCAGGCACTCTACCCTTGTGAGGTGCCTTAGAGTTGGATATGTCAGCCCTGCCTCCTCCCTGGCAAAGGTACCAGCTACCTATACAGAGAAAAAAGCAGGCACACCACTTCTCCACTCCCCCCACAAGGTACTACACAGAATTTAGAGGCATGCTTGCCCCAACAGAGCAAAATATTACTCCAAATCAGAGTTGAAAAAAAACTTTTACATGGCCTAGAGTTTCAGGACATCCAGATGTTTTAGTGGCCAACACAGCTAAAAAAAAAATTAAAAATAGCAATAATTTTTACTTAAAGAATTCCAGTTAAGGCTATTAAGAAATAATTGTAGTAGAATATTATATCCTAAAAATTAATCCTCTAGAATATATTTTCAAAGCCCTGTCCAAACCAGAGTGGAGCATGGAATGATCAAAGGTCAGGCCTTTTTATTTCATGCAAACTGTAGTTATACAGAGAAGGTTTCACCCAACTTGCTGTGTAAGACCAAGTGACTACAGCCAAGTCAAACTTCTGCCCTTATATGGTAAGGAAAGGGGGAAAAAACACTGATGACATTAAGGGGCACTCCCATGGATAACAGATAAACACAACCTCCTCTATCTGTGCCAAAGCCTGTAATTTATGAGGCATGTTTGTATAATGAGGGAGAATGGACATGAACAGGGCATTGTTGTGCCTTTGCCTTGCCTACATATGAAAGCAGAAATTGAGAGTGTGTACATATTCTAGTTACTGCCACCCTGGGAGTGCCAATGTGAGACAAAATGCACCCTTAGTTTCTTAGTCTTAGAAATATTTACCACTCTAAAGAGGAAATGGCCTCGGAATTTTGTAAATTGGTTATTTCTCATGATTTAATAAAGTTACCAATTAAAAACCTACAGGCCACAACTTTAAGTCTACGTATTTGCTGGGTACTATTCAGAAAGGAAGAAAGATTGGCTCCTTCTTGCTACTTTTTCCTTTGATAATGACAACAAACAAACAAACAAACAAAACCCTCATGGGTCAAAAGACCTAGTGTCAACTACACTATTACATCAAGCAAAGTAGCCTCATTCCAAACATTTAAAGGGCTCACATACCTTGGAAAAGCAAACC